ACTTAAAATAATAAAAGTGTGCAAGCGGATGTTTAACTTGCTCTCTTGTTTACGCAATCAATCATTATCAGAAATAAGACAGTGTACTGAACTACACATTCAGTAAAGAGCAATTACAGTTCAACCAAAATTAATATGTGTCCGCCATAATCACACACTGGTGTAACATGAATGACATATACATTACACGATAACATATGTATCAATAGGTATCAAAAATATGCAAATCAACTGCAGCAACACTACCCATTTCAATGTAACACATTGCAGCCTCTCAGCAACACGATCTTCCTTGCTAGCATTAGAAGAACAACTACCACGAACATAACGACAGTGAGACCCGCAGAATTACCGACTGATCCCCCGTAGTTACCAGCGAGATACTTTATACCGCCAGAACGTGTGGGAGATTACAGTTCTACTCTCATTTCTTAATATTTTACCCTGAAACCTGACATTAGATTTTACGAATTTTATCCCGTTTATTAACTTATTTTATATTCCCGACTTTTCTAGCTATTTAGAGCATCCATGGTCATGGCTTAGGTGTTCGACGTCCCAATGCCATTGTTAACCAAGGCTCCCTTCAGATTAAAATTTTTAATTTACGAGTATGTTCCGATTTACGCACTATGAAGTTATAGCATGTTTAAGTCTTGTAGTTGTATGCTTAGGTTAGGATTAAATTTTATTATGTAAATTGATCGCTGGGTACTATCATCTGCTTGTGATCTTATAAATAACAAAATGATATCCCATCCCAAGCATATAACTACAAGATTTCAAGATACCATAAGTTCATACTGCGTAAATGGGAACAGAAATTAATAATTTCAATCTCTATCAAAAATTAAGAAATACAAGTAGCCGTGGTTAACTTTGAAATTTGTACGTCGAGCACCTCAATGAACATGGGTGTTGTAAAATGCTCGTAACGTCGGGAATATAAAATAGTTTTATTTAAAGAGTTAATCTGTTATTATTTTCAAAAGTATATAATTAGTCTGAGCTGCAGTTGTCTCACTCGGTTACGTAATTTGTTCATTCGGACTCAGCACGACAGCAATAGTTCGTTTAAACATGTTCTTTAAAATCTTTGCAGGTTTGTTATTATTTTAAGCATGGGCTTTAAAATATAATAACACTCAGAAATGTAGTATATACAACCCTTAGTCTAAAAGCCCAACTTTGACTGAGAGTAAAGTTGTCGGATCCAACTCGGCTGAACAGCGTTCGGCATATTCTCGTCACGTATTATATCACGTAGTACGAGGTAGGTACATACAAATCTTGTCACGTATTCTTCAAAATTTGAAAACAGCCATTGTGTGGTGTCGGTGGACGAAATATGGATTCAGGAGGTGGTTCATCATTGCTAGTCATAAGAAGAATTTTGGTCTTATAGCGAGATATGGGAGAGCTTTATACGGAATTTCTCTATGATAGACTTCGTAATGAGGACATCATCTGTAGTTAAGCCAGTGGAACCTCAGCATCATTAGAAATTAGTAGTTTTTACGGACTCACAGAATACAAATTTCCTGATCATAATGGAAAAGGGGTAGCATATATCTAGATTAATCGAAAATCGATAGGAAAAAGAACGCTCTTGAGTGGAGGCCTTGTGCCGGCAAAAGCAAAGTGAAGGACTGCTCACCGTTAGAAGGAGTGCAGTCCTGAAAATACATGCAGGAAGTAGATAGATTCATGGAGCCCAGGACGGTCTTTTTGCCGTGTAGTGGCTGTTGAGAATATACATTAGCCCATATCTTCCCGTGGATTTCATTTATTTATTTATTACATTTGTTTAGGTAATCATACAGCGTTTTTATCGTATTTAAAATACATATTATCATTTAGTAAGGCCAATAGAGATTACACAATTTTAACTAATAATTAAGCGTGCGTGTGTGTTTGAGTAAGTGTGCATGCGTGCATGTGTGTGTGTGTGTGTGTGTGTGTGTGTGTGTGTGGCGTGTGTGTGTGTGTGTGTGTGTGTGTGTGTGTGTGTGTGTGTGTGTGTGTGTGTGTGTGTGTGTGTGTGTGTGTGTGTGTGTGTGTGTGTGTGTGTGTGTGTGTGTGTGTGTGTGTGTGTGTGTGTGTGTGTGTGTGTGTGTGTGTATGTGTGTTCGTGTTGTATTTAGGAACTAGTATTGATCATTTTAGATACACGTCTGGACATCTATGGATTACCAGACCATAAACAGCGTAGCAAACTTATTATAGTTTTGAACATTCGAGTCCAAGTATCAAGTAGAATTTGCAAGCATCTTCATATGAAGCAAAACTATTATGATCTTTTAATGAGATAAACTTAATGAACAGTCTTTGAATTGATTCTATTCGATGTTTATGCTTCGCATACCTTGGAGACCAGATTGTATTAGCGTATTCGAGAACACTCCTTACGTATGCAAAGTATAGAGCTTTAATGCAATTAATACTTCTAAAATCGTTGCAGACGCGCTTTATGAATCCAATTTGCTTGTAGGCTTTATCAACAATACTATCTATATGCTCATTGAACGTTAATTTTGAGTCCAGCCTGATGCCAAGATCTCTAACTGATGATACACTCTTTATGGATTTATTGTTAATAATTGAATACTTGCAATCTATGAGCTGTTTCTTGCGACTGAAGGTTATTTTGACACATTTTTCACTATTGATAGTAATTCTATTTTTGCTGTAATAAGTTTCTAGGTTTTTTAAATCGTTTTGAATCAGAACACAGTCATCAATTGTTTTTATTTTTAGATAAATTTTTTTGTCATCTGCGAACATTAAATAGTTTGAATGATAGAAGCAGTCACCGATGTCAAATAAATAGGCGTTGTAGAACAAAGGTCCGAGTATTGAGCCTTGTGGGACACCAGATGTTACCGTAATAAAATCACTACGAGCACTACCCAGTAACACTGCTTGCCTTATGTTACTTATGTATGAAGTTACCCATTTGTGCAAATCACGATGAATACCCAATCGTTTCAATTGTGTATGATTCATTTCCTAATTTTAATGTTGGGTATGTAAAGTTGCTATTACGTATAGATTTTAAATAAAACCATAATATTTTAGGATCTGTTTTTAGAAGGCTTTGCATTCTATCTAAGTAACGCTCGTAGCACTGTTTCTTTAATTTCATTTGTCTAGTACGTAGTATGCAAAATTTGTCATAATCACGGGGATTTTTATATTTTTTCCAATGTTTATGTTTTAAGAGCTTTTCTCGAATATTATGCCTTAGTGATTTAGAATACCAAACAGGGTAATTAGATGAACGGGATAAGCAAGTAGGTGCAAATTTATCAATTATTAGGTGTAGCTGGGAATAAAAATTTTGAACTACGACATCAATTGAGTTGCCAGTTAACAAGGAAGACCAGCTGATTTCTGAGAAGGGTTTTATTTATTTTATCGTAATCAACTCGGTTAAAGTTTAATTTTGATCGGGGTTTATTTTCTAAGCAGGGTATTAACAGATCAGATGCGTCGAGCAGTAAAGAAGGATGGTATTTATCCTCAGATACAAGATATATTTGAGAACGGGTAACGTCTACTTTTATGTTACTAAACACTAAGTCTAGTACGTTGCCACTATTGTTGCTAATAATATTATGTTGATTTAGCCCTGATAAGTTGCATAGATCAATTAACTTTATTGTAGCATTTTGTAATTCTAATGGATTTTGCTTAAGCATTACGAGACCTGAAGAGGACCAAGATACGTTCGCTAGGTTGAAGTCACCGGCAACTATAAAATGATCATTTGGAAATTGAGTTATGATTTTTGTGAGCATTTCTGTAAAATTATCTAATCGCTTTGATTGATAATTATCAGGCGGTATATAAACAACTCTAATGTTTAAATTACGTGCGTCTTGAGCTTGTAATTGTGTATACGTACAAATCATGACCCTTATTTTTATGCGAAGATGTTTTATTTCTATCATACCTAAATATATCGTACCTATTGTCACATAATTCACCGTTGAAAATACCATCATTCAACCAAGTTTCTGTAATGAGTAGTTAAGTAGTAGAGTTCCATATGTTGAAGTTATTACAAATTATACTGTCTCGAAATTGCCTAGTTTTAGTTCGCAAGTCACGGACGTTTTGATAGAATACTACATTAAGTTATAAGGTACTTTTAACATGATTTATGTACCATTGTGTTGTAATTAACTTATAAAAATTATATCTATCATAGTAATTAATGGTAGTGTAGATAATAATTACATTATGTAACAGAAATAATACAGGTTGAAGAGTCATGAGGGATGCAGACAGGAATTTTATTTTTATACAAGGTAAGAAATGGTAGCTTATACATTTCTTTTGTGGGGTATTTTGGTGTAAATATTCAGTATTACTGTAAATTTTGAAAGATGTGTGTGAATGTAAGATTTTGATGTATGTGATAATGGATGTGTAAATCGTGAGTGTTGTTTTATGTGTTAAATATGTAACTATTAATATTAAAAAATAGCGTGCATACTATCAAAATTAATCTTATCATATAATTTTTTATAAATCTTTTTCGGAATTTATAGTAATAGCGGGAGACTCCTCGTTTTTCCTTAAAAAAATGTGGCAGTTTCTGACCCAGATAAACTTATATGATTTAGCCATTGCTCGTGATTTTACTATTTTCAAGAGTTGCTTATTCTCAGGGGTCAGGTGTTCGTTAACAAAAAACCTTTTAGCTGGACCATCCAGTCCAATATCGGAAGTAGTAATTCCTTTGGTTTTGCGAAGCCCTGAAATAAAATTATCTTTAATAATGCGATTCTGAAATTTGACTACAATGTTTTTTGGGCGACCTCCAACATTCTGCATAGGCTGAACTTGGTGCGCAAAAATAATTTGGTGATCCGTAAGCTTTATTCCTGCATGGCTGGCTATTTTGATTATTAAGTCAGAAGTTGATTCTTTTGAGTTTTCTGGTAAACCAACAATGTCTAAGTTCGAAAGTCTACCCCATTGTTGTTCTTTTTTTATTTGCGCACATCCAGTTTCATTTCGCCATTCTGGATATTTTGTTGAAGTTTTTCAAAATTACTTTTAAGATTGTTGTAGTCATTCAGCAAACTATTATGCGATTCTTCCAGCTGTTTAAGGTTACTAGTTATTTCATTTTTTACTTCAGTGATAAGTGATAATTTCAACTCTTGAATTATATCGAATTTTATAGCACTGAGTTTTTTGTCTAACAGTAACTCTATGCTATAAATTAATTCCAAAATATATGTTTGGCAACTACTAGTCCCAGTGATACATGTAGGCTGGTCAGAACTTTTGTTTGATTGTCTATACGTAGTTTTATCGTAAACGATGTTGGAAGGAGACTTATTAGTTCGTATCGGAGTGTTACTGTAATTATCACCTTTTCGACAAGAAGCAGTGCAAGCGGGACACTTCCATTCAGATATTAAAGCAGTATCATTATTAAAATTTATGCACTCTGAATGGTAGTTATGCGAACATTGTGTGAATTTTATTAGTTTTTGAGTAACATTTATATTTGCTCTGCATACTTCACACCTTCCGCCCATTTTACTATTGAATAAAGCGTTAAAATGCAGAGAATGTAATACATATTATAAGTACAAAAGTGCGTTAACTCCAATTTAGAGTGTAGGGGACTCGATCTTCCGTCGCTTTAACTTTTAATTGTTGTGCACACCGTTAGGCCGTTCGACCAACACGCCTTAAGCAGATACGATGAAATTTTTGAACTCCTTGTACGATTTGCAATAGTCCTTCAAGTTTTGTTAAAGGTCAAGTTAAAATGATTTTGATAATTTTTCTTAAATTAGACCACTTTTATCAGAACTAAGCACCAGTCATAAGAGGCGACAGAGGGGACAGGCAAGAGATGGGCAGCAGCATCTTCCTGATAACAACTGTGATATAATAAAAAACTGCGGTTGCCAACCCGCTCGCCAAGCGTGGCAACTATGGCAAATATCCCTCCACGAATAACGACGCAAACAGACGGCCCCCAGTCCCCGGTGGCCCCGCTATTCCTGGCTACGGTGGCAACCATGGTAACGGCGGGGCAGGGGGTGCTAAGAATCTCCGGTGGAGATTCGGTTGCCACCTACAACGTCTCGACCTGGCAACATATAACGCAAGCTACCTGAGGAGTGATGAGAAGATACTGGAGCTGGAAGAAGAGGTAGATAAGTTGCGCTTGCATATTATTGGATCATCCGAGGTCCGAAGAGAGGGGAAGGACACGGCAATCCTCGAGTACGGCAACTTGTTCTATCACCGGGGAAGGCGACCATCTGTCCCAAGGAGGTGTCGGATTTATCGTCCACAAGTCTCTCGTCAACAACGTTGTAAAGATTGGGAGTGTGTCGATGAGTTTCGTGTACATGATACTCCGAATCGCCAAACAGTATTCGCTGAAGGTCATACAGGTTTACGCACAAACCTCGGCACATCCCGATAAGAAGGTGGAGAAAATGTATAAGGATAATTCTAGAGCCATGCATTCCTCCAAAACTCACTACACGGTGTTGATGGGAGACTTCAATGCAAAACTAGGCACAAGAGAAAGCGGTGAGCTGAAGTTAGGGAAATTTGGAGTAGGGCAACGGAAACACAGAGGCCAGCAGCTGGCCGACTTCATGGAGTAAGAGGGACTCTTTATGATGAACTCTTTCTTCCAGAAGCGGCCCCACAGGAAGTGGACCTGGTCGAGCTCCGACAGTTCGATAAAAAATGAGATTGACTTCATTGTGACAACCAGACGCAAACTGTTCAGTGATGTCTCAGTGATCGCAAGGGTGAAAACTGGCAGCGATCACCGAATGTTTAGAGGCACACTGAACCTAAACGTTAAGTTGGAGAGGTCTCGTCTAATGAAGTCAACGCTTCGTCCCCCTCGTGCTCTAATCCAGAATCCCGAAACCTTTCAGCTCGAGTAACGTAACCGCTTTAAGTGCCTAGAAGATTGCAATGCGGTGGACGATACGAATGACAAGCTCGTGGTAACTGTCCATGCGGTCGGAGCTAAGCTCTGCAAGACCCGCCGCAGAAGAAAACAAAAACTCTCCGATCACACTCTTAATCTCATGGCTGTTAGACGGGAGATGAGGCTGCAATCGTCAACTTACAGTAGATTTGATAGCATACAGGCAACTGAACAGACAGATCTCCAAATGCATGCAGCGAGACTTACGCAACTTTAATACTACTCGTATTAAAGAAGCGATCGAGTGGAACCAGGGCGCCAAAGTCTTTTCCAGAGATCTGTCTGCCAGAAAGAGCCAACTGTCAAAGCTGAAGACTGAGTGTGGCAACATCGTTTCCGGGACACCTGAGATTCTGAGTGAGATTGAGAGGTTCTATTGGCAGCTGTAACATCATCTTTGGAGCCACACGCAAGTGTGAGGAACGATCCAAGAGCAAGTCTTATCCGACACTATTTCGATGATATCCCGGACGTCAGTCTTAGCGAGATTAGAATGGCTATCCACCACCTTAAAAAAGGCAAGGCCCCGGGCGAGGATGGAATTAAAGCGGAGCTTCTGAAAGCGGGTGGAACACCGGTACTTGAAGTCCTTCAGAAGCTCTTTAATTCCGTCCTCCATGGTGGCACTACTCCGGGAGCGTGGAGCAGAAGCGCGGTGTTCTTGTTCTTTAAGAAAGGCGACAACGCTCTATTGAAGAACTACAGACCGATTCCCTTCTGAGCCGCGTCTACAAGCTATTTTCGAGAGTCATTACAAATCGACTCGCACGCAGACTCGACGACTTCCAGCCTTCCGAACAAGCCGGTTTCCAAAAAGGCTTCAGTATCATAGACCACATACATACACTGCGGCAGATTGTACAGAAGAACGAAGAGTACAATCTGCCACTTTGCCTGGCATATGTGGACTATGAGAAAGCCTTTGATTCCGTCGAAATTTGGGCGGTGCTACAGTCCCTTCAGCGGTGCCAAGTTGACTGTCGGTATATCGAAGTGCTGAAGTGTTTGTACAGTAGGGCTACGATGGCTATCCAAGTACAGAACCAGAGTTCGAAAGCTATCCAACTGCAGAGAGGTATAAGACAGGGTGATGTTATATCCCCGAAAATCTTCACCGCTGCGTTGGAAGACGTTTTCAAGCTACTGGACTGGAAAGGATACGGTATTACACATCAAAGGCGAGTACATCACTCACCTTCGATTTGCCGACAATATAGTCCTTATGGCAGAATTGCTGGAGGGCCTTAGCACTATGCTCAATGACCTCAATGGTGTCTCCAAATGGATAGGTCTTAAGATGAACATGGACAAAACAAAGATCATGTTTAATGTCCATGTCACACCTATGACGGTAGTTGTTGGGAGCACTATGCTCGAATTTGTTGACGAGTACGTTTACCTGGGACAAATAGTCCGACTAGGTAAGTCCAACTTCGACCGAGAGGTCAATCGACGGATTCAAATCGGCTGGGCAGCGTTCGGGAAATTACGACATATCTTTTCGTCAGGTATACCTCAATCTCTAGAAACTAGATTGTACAACCAGTGCGTTTTGCCAGTGATGACTTACGGATCTGAGACGTGGTCCTTCACTGCTGGCCGTATGAGGACGCTTAAGGTCGCTCAGCGAGCTATGGAGAGGGCTATGCTCGGAGTTTCTCTGCGTGATAAACTCAGAAATGAGGATATCCCCAATAAAACCAGAGTGACCGACGTAGCCCAACGATTAGTAAGCTGAAGTAGCAATGGGCCGGCCATATAGCTAGAAGAACCGATAACCGATGGGGAAGAAAAGTTCTCGAGCGGCAGCCTCGTACTGGTGAGCGTAGTGTAGGGTGACCCCCCACTAGATTGAGTGACTACCTGGTAAGGCACGCAGCAAGTCGAAGGATGCGGGTGGCTCGGGACCGTGCTTTGTGGCGTTACTTGGGGGAGGCCTATGTTCAGCAGTGGACTTGTGAAGGGCTCTAATGATGATGATGATGATGATGATGATGAGGACGGTGTTTTGTCCTCGTTTTCAATGGTTGAAATCATGATAATCATAACGATGAATCTAATTGGCGCCCGCGGGGTCAAACTTGAATTATTTGCCTTCTTTGTTCGTAACATGTGTTTGTTCCCAAGTAAGTTACTTAATCACAGTGCACTCATCTAATTCGGAAAGTAACAATCAGGACACCAGTTGAAATTAGTTGGCATCGCTCCGGGCATGTGCAGTTAATGCCTTCTGTAATTCCTGTAGTAACTTATTAAATAAGTGATTAAACATGCGAGTAATTGCGGATTTTTTTTGATTTAACGAAATGAATCTAACTGTAGAAAAACCACGCTGTGACTTAATAAAAATAAAATAAAATCCAGAGATTAAAAATTGTGGTAGTTTATTTGAGAAAGGTTTAAACGTAATAAAGTAGTAGTGGTAAAATGTAACGGCGACATTGACCAAGTAATGGCGGTGTTGACCGTATAGTATAGATGTAAGAATATACACACATATCGTCTCTAAGGGAGATAGAGGGAAACTCAAACAGAAAATAGGCAGATTGATCTTAACAACCGTAAAAAGAACTGTAGTTACCAATCCGCCAGCCAGGGGAAAGGCCTATGTCATTGATATTGAATAAAAGATATGATATTCTATTATATTCTGTTCTGTGACTGATTTTATTAGGCTGTAATAAAGTATCTCTTTATTGGGCTGTAATGAATATTTGGTTGAATAACCTAGCTTTTATGTCATAAAATTTTAAATACATCCAAGCCATTTTATGAGACATAATTATCCTGAATAGGATACCTATTTAATGGTAGCTCTATATGGTAATAAGATTTTAGTTTAACAGCATCAGTAGCAGTTAGGTACTTCCTACTTTGAAAGTTTAGAAATTCAATTTCCGTAAAGAAAATTGGATCGGAGTTTATACAAGCTTAGTGTTCAATAATGGGAGTACTTTAAAAGCTTTCCAACACAGTTGACCAAAATAAGAAGGGATGGAGATAAAATATAAACTCTCATATTAAAAAAACAACGTATTCCTTAAGTAGTTTCGCTAGCGCAGTGGCTAATATTTATTGCAGGGGCAATGCGGCTCCACAGGTTTAAATCCCGCACGAAGCAACTGTCTTATGTATGTTTTACTACCTAAAAATCCGGGTCTTAATATTTGTTTAGTGTAATTTATGTATGTTAAATGCATCCAAATACAGTAGAAAATCTAAGTTCATAAATAACCACCTAGTACTAATATCCTGGGTCCTAGTGTTTAGGTGTCATGTCAATACTGATTTTTTATAATTAAACGAATTCTTGACGTTGAATAAAACTAATTTTATTGAGTTTAATTTAACTTATTTTTGTTTTCATTCCTGACCTTTCGATTACATTACTGCACCCATGATCACGGGAAAGAGATTGAGTGTATGACATTCCGCTGTCGTAGTTAAACCGGCTACCTTCAGCTTTTGAATATAAGTGTTTTGTCGTATGTAGTACTCACCGATCTTCTCTATTAAAATATAGATGTTCTTTCTTAATATTCAATTTCACTCAATAATTGGAAAAATACT